ACGAAAACTATAATCAAATTTATAATGCAATATTGTTGACAAATAAAAACGGGACTAAATGTGGTTTTCAAAATAAAAACTCTTTTCGTCCCGTTCATTTCGTCCCGCTATTATTATTATTTTGAAATATTTCTGTTTCCTGAGTCTCGGGGCTGCATCAGCGCACTGCGAAGACGCAAGCGACGTCACTTCCTCAATCCCCACTCGCGGCAAGTTAAAGGCCTTTACACACCGGGGCGTTTTTTTTCCTGTGATTAATTCGCACGTAAATATGAGTTTTCTTACTGTTGTTTTTGTTATGAGTACTTTCACACAGAACGCAAATATTACGCGGCGAAAAAGCCGCTTCACTTGTATTGAACAAATGTCGCAACTGTCGCAGATTCGCATCGCTGCCGCTATGAATAGTTTTGATGTGAAATAGGCGAGTATACATTTTCGTGTCGTTTATTCGTCACGCCCCGGTGTGTAAAGGCCTTAAAGCTCAAACAAAACCTGGCAGGTTAGCCATGTGTGTGTACTTCTTACATGTTTGGTGGGTAAAATAAATATGTTGTAAATTCAAATCAGAGCGTCTTCCATGTCTGGAATTGAATGTTTTCTTGAGTCTATAAGGTAACAATAATATAATAATAAGATAACCTTGTTTGACTTGTGAAATGGGTGACTTAAAGAAAATGTTGGTTTTGTCTATACTATACTGTACTATACTATATTTACTGGTTTAAATAGAATTGCATTACTAAAAAGAGACTAAAATACAATGTTCATTAACTAAAACTAGACTAAAATAGTCATGGATAATTCTGACTAAAATGCTCAGACTTTTAGTCGACTGAAACTTGACTAGACTAAAATAGTACAAACGTGACTAAAACTAATAAAGACTAAAATGACAGTTTGACACAAAGACTAGACTAAGACTAAAATGAAAACAGGCCGCCAAAAACAACACTACTGCCAAGGACTGGTTCCGACAACTTGGTTATCATTGTGGAAGAGGTGCTTGTTATTTGATATGTAATGAAACATTTCCTCCTATTATATGGTTTATTTTCAATAGTTTAAAGTAGCTGAGTGTGCTGTAGCAACAACAATGGCTTTGGTTGTTTCTGAACTCTGGTGTTTCTTGTTTGTTTCCCAGAGCAACGGCAACGAGCCGCCTGCAGCAACTGAGGCCCACAGTCCATTCATGAGTGAGGGACAAACCACCTTCTGCTTTGAACCCAGGTAACGCCGTCACACGCCGGCCCTCTGTTCCCTAGCTGCACTGTTTGTGCACGCAGCAGCCCGCTGCTTCCCAAACCTGTGCATTGTAACGTGTATGTGTAAAGTGTTTGTTCTCCACACGTCTCCTCTGTCCTGCTGCTGCTGCCTAGTCTTCCAGCAGGCCACCCACGTTGCCTGAGACTGTTTATTAACCCAGTGCTGCTGGCTTGCCAACGTCATCACCTGCCTACCTATTAACACAAGATCTCTCCCCTCTCTCCCCCATTGGTTTGTTTCATGTCCTTGGGGATGCAGCGTGGACATGAAGCGCTGTCCACTTTGTGAGGTCATATTCCCGCCCAACTACGACCAGAGCAAATTCGAGGAGCATGTGGAGAGCCACTGGAAGGTGTGCCCCATGTGCAGCGAACAGTTCCCGCTGGACTGCGAGCAGAAGATCTTCGAGAACCACGTGCTGACGCACTTTGACGGCAACATGCTCAACTTTGAGTAGACTAGGCATGACAACACATCTGCTTGGCCTATATCCTTTCACCACTAAAACACATCAACTTCTCTTACCGCATGTTCTAGTGTGAAGATCTGCTCTTTAGAACCTTTGGTTTTTTGTTTGTTATTTTAGTTACAGTTAAGAGGTGGTTTGATATAAAAAAAAAAAACCTGACATTGTATCTAACCTTGACTTATAACCCAGGGCTACTAGATTTTGTTATGAGATTTGCAGATCTAAATGGTTTATTTTTAATGGTGATTGAGTCCCTTTATTTGGGTATGGCTTAATTAAGAGTTAAGACTGTTCTACACTGTTTTTATTTGAGCTCTCATAGATCTATTTGGTCACTAGATGTTACAAATCAGGGAAAGAGGCAACAAATGTTTACCAAACTTACGTTTGACTCCATCGAACCAAACTGAATTGAAAAGGAGCATTTGTGCACAATATAGTAGGGAAGAAGGAATTGCTTGTGTGATTACATTAACACATTTCATATGGTGAAATCATATATTTTAGCAAGTATATAAAAACCAATGATATTGTGAAAGCCTTGATGATTTGTGTACAGTCTCATGTCGGTGTTAGTAGGCTTCTGATGTCTTTATTTTCCTCATCATTCAGTAACTTGACTGTCGGATAATGAACCCTTGTATCATCGGCTATTTGGTGCATGCCAGGCTTCTGTTAATTCTTTGTTCTCTTCTGATTTCCAACGATAACTTATTTCAGTCTTTTAAAATGTTTGATTTGTTTTTAGCAAGCTCCATGTATTGCATATAAACTAATAAAGTATGTTCAAAAGTCATTAATCTGTTTTCAAAACCTTGCTTGTTGATTTGTAGGCAGGCTTCTAAGGCATTTATTTAATTCAGACTCGATAAAAGTTTACATGAAGCAGCTTTATTATGAAGAATACAGTACATCCAAAACAATGTCATTACCTAATGCACGTTTTTTTCCCCCCAAAAAAAATATGAAAATATAATTTAATGCACTTAACAACAATACATTCACTATACACAATATTTCAGTTCCATCGATATTGGCAGTACAATACTGTCACTATTCTCCACCATACAAACGGTATTTTAACATCAACGCCCATGACAGTGCTTTTGAATAAACCATCAACTCCACTGTTTCCCACATGGCTCTGGCCCTGCTCCAGATGAATTCACACAATTATGGCACTAAGCTTACAGACAGACAAGGGGCACAGGTATGGCTGGGAAAATGCTTGAAGAACTTAATGGCAATCATGGTTACATGGTTGTACAAAACCCCAAGTCAGTCCAATGAAAATGGCACACAATCTGGGTCCTGCTTGACTTTTCAGTTGAAAAAGCTGTATACAAAGTAGGATTGGAATGCTGTATTTTATGATTGAAGGAACTCATACAGAAGGTCGAAATACAAAAATACTGGAGGGCTGTGGATCCACTCTTGGAACCATACAGAAGAGCTGTTCTCAATTACCTTGTTTCTATGGTCAGGAGACGTGGACAAAACAGCCTCCTTATTTGTTGGCAATTGGTTAGAAAAAGTGCTTAAATCTTACATAAGAATAAGGTATACTGCATACTTCTAGGAAAATAGCTTGAAAGAGTGTAAAAAGCAGGCTGTCAATACCACAAAAACGCTGACAGAATTGTGGTACCAAAATGCTTCAAATGTCTCCTGAGATCATCTTTTGGTACTAATAAAAATGTTTCCTACCCAAAAAAGTAAAAAAACAAAAAAAAGTATTTGAAGTGTAGGATCATTTCACAGCCACCTCAACACCAATGGCTCCTTGTTCTAAACTGCTCATGTCTATGTTGTGTCATCCTCAATAATGATGGATGTAGAAAAATAACCATAAATGTGTGAATGTGCAAAAATACAAACCTGAACTCAAACATGCAACAACAAAGAAAATGGTTTGACCCTGCACTATATCAACAAAAAAAAACTGTGAAAATGTGTAATGTGTTTGTTTTGTTTACACTACAGCATTTCTTGGGTGCCATGTTCCAAGCAACACCAGAACAAATGAGCTTCCAGCAGTAAAACAAGAGCATATTAATGTGGATAAAAAACTTTTTGAGGATACACATTTAAAAAATGTGATTTTAAATATTATGGTGTTTTTTTATAAATAGAACGATTTTAAAACATGTAATCAACCACTGTTGTGAAGAATGAGAGTAAGCGAACAAAACAGACAGAAAGAGTGAGAAAAAGTGAGAGAGAAAGAGAGTGAGAGGACTTGGACACTCAATTTGACTTTAGTGATCGGATCTGCCAGATCCACACATGTGGATCGTTGCCTCCACACGACACTTGAATGCAAACTCTGTAACCAGATATGTGATCAGATCTCTTCTTCCCACATAAACATGACCGCAAATAAACATAAATTCAACTAATTCAATTAATTTGATATTGAGTCACCAAATGTCGTAGTCGTAGGCTATATTCATTTTTATTAATTTTAGAATATGAAACTAACTTCCCTTTGGTGCGCAAACAAACGCTCACACTCTTTCATTCTTATCTTTATTTATTTTTATTTGAATGGGAATAAGCCGAGAGGCATGTGCCACAATTCAGGGTGTGGTTTTAATTACATAGCACCGATCTGGGAGCATCTATACCTGACAGCTAATGCATCATGGAGAGATCCAATCACAAAAGTCACACTTAAAGCGTAATTGAGGCCACAGAGAAAAAGAGTGAGAAAGAGATAGAGAGAGAGTGGGGCGGGTTGCAATGTAGAAAAACATGTTGTAGCTGGTGATTGGCTGTGGCCAATGTGTGGCTGGAGAACGGAAGCGGCAGGTGGTTGCTGATCAGATCACAACATCTCGACTTTACTGCTGCATTTTGCGGATAATGTCAGCAGAGACTGGCGGGTGGAAGTTGATGGTGTGGTGCCGGAGGCCCTGAGACGTCTTGTAGCTCTTCCCACAGCGGCACTTAAAAGACTTGCGCACCCTGATCTGGGTTCTGTGGCCGTTTTTCGCGTGGTATTTGATACCATTCACATTCTGCAAGAGGAAGGCAAACATGATGAATGAGGCCCAGGGGGGAAATTTTAATTCCTTCACCTGTGTATTCATGTTAAAAGTACAGGTACACCCTAAAGTTAACATTTGTTTACAGCAGTAAGTGAGGCACTTCAAATGAGTATACATTCTAATATACTCACACGGTTGGCTGAGAAGTGCCTGTCTGAGGTATACAATACTTTAGATTACATGACTCTTGTAAGTATAATAGACACTAACAGAGGGCAGGAGAGTCTAGTTGTTAGGGTGTTTGACTCCCAGCCTAAAGGTTCTGGGTTCAAACCCCAATGTCTGCAGTCTTAACTGTAAGAATCCCTGAGCAATGATGCCCCTACCTGCTCATTAATGGCATTTATCTAAACAAAATAATAGTCACTTTGGAAAAATACATCTATATATAGTACAGCATAATTGTACTAAACAGTAAGCTAGCTCCTTGTTGTCTGCATATTGCAAGTGCTGACCACTGTGTGAGTCTGTGTCATAGCCCATAACCATGTCATTCACGTCAGAGATGCAATTTTCTCAAGCTGCACATAATTTATTCCGACCACACGCCCCCAGATGTGAATGGAAAATGCAGTAAAAACTCTAAATCATTGAAGTGTACTCATGTATGCCTTTGTGTTGACATGCAGTAATACTCAACACCCTGTTTTCCACTCGGAACAGCATGGTGTCTATTTTTGTCTCAACTTGGCAGTGGCACGGGGAGATCTGCCAAAGGGGCTTTGGAAGGGATCCGGAGGTATGGATTCTTGAACAGGCGAGGCTTTGTATGAAAGATAGTCAAGAGAGAGAGATACTGAGTGTTCTACCTTGTATCTCTTCTTGCAGCCCGGCACAGGGCAGGCGAAGGGCTTCTCCTCCCCACCGTTCATGCACATGGAGCTGAGGATGGACTCAGAGCTGATGGCACTTTCCATGGTCCAGGACTCATCGCTGTCCGAGTCCTCGTAGTCCACCTCCTCCTCATCACATTCGCTACCTGTAGGGAGCAATGGCGTGTGTGTGTGGATGCCAGGTGTGCGTGAGTGAGAAAATGAGGTGTGTGAGACCAGCCAAAGAGTGAATGTGAGTCAGTACATGAGCAACAAATAGCCGATCATACATGTTGGTTTGTGATTTTGTTGAATGACTAATCGTTCGAGAACTTAAAGCTTTTCTGCCAATAATATTTTCTCCACACGTATTGGGTTGGGGTTGGGGTTAGGGTTTAGGGTTAACTTGGCTTTGGTTCTGTGTTCCCATGTTCTCTATATAGTAGGGGGGATTATCAACAAAAAAGGACCTAATCGTTACGCGGCGGATAGAAGCACCAAATTTGGTACAGACACTCTTTATGATGTATCTCATCATTTCAGAAGGGGTGCCCAAAATTTCTGGTTGATTAAGGTCATTTTTAAAGGGAAAATCCAAGATGGCTGCCAAAAACGACCCAAGGATAATAAAACATGATATAGTTTGGCCAAAATGGTTTATTCTGCTACTTTATCATTTTACATTTAATATACGGCTGACAAATAATATGTGCAAGATAACCCATGGAAAAAATCTTATGTCTTTTATACAGCTTTAAAGTGGAAAAAACAGGCTTAAAACGGTCAGAATGACATGACTCCCCAAGTGAATCCTCATCTGAGTAGTTAATTATTTATGTATGCATGACATTAATATTCTAAAAAACTTTTGGAAGAATCACTTAATCATTTTCAAAAGACGGCTTATTGTTTAACTGTCCACATGAGCAGAGATCAAGCCCTAAATAGGAACACAACTCATTGACCAAATGTTATGTTAGCGTTAGCATTAGCATTAGCCAATGTAGACCCACTAGCTGGGTTGAGCTTAAGCTGGGCAAACAAACAAAACATTCCTAGGCTAATTGTGTCCCCATGATCACTTGTGGTCTTTTTTGCGTATTTGTGCCCTGTGGGTCTTCCTGGGGGGTATTGTCGTATTTCGGGCATAAACTTATAGGAGCTATGAAATTTTGATTTGTACTACAGTAATGGTAGCCAATTAGTACTTAGCTGTGTAATATGTACATTGAGTAAGACTGTGTCTCATTACGCATAGTTTTGTCAGTGCACTGCTAATGTGCACTGACCACTTAATGCCGTAGTGCATAAATGGGAATCAAATTCGCTAGCTGTTACACTCTCTCTAAACTAGTTTTGATGGATATGATGGATAAGATGAATTGTCAAAATTAAAGTCGACATGATATGTCCATTTTATTTATTATTTATAAATCTTGAAATGTCTACAGTACATGTCGACTCATCGTGGCAACAAAAAAAAAATCTTCATGGGTGGCCCTAATAATCCGTGTTGTATAATTCCCTCGATTTTCCAGTGTTGATGACAAATTTCTCTGGTTGCTAACATTCGATAGTTTCATTACCTTGCTAACTAGCTAACTTTATATTGTCAGTGTAACACAGCCAACTAGTACATATTACTTGTTAAAACTATTCATACAGACATTTTAGGGAATAAACATTCATGTGAGAATAAATTAAGGTGCAACTTATAAATATGCGGTGTTATGGCATAAGGCTTGGCTTGCTAAACTGAGCTAAACAGTCTGACCATTGAAAACAGTTCTACAATGAATACACTCGAGACAGCTCTGTAGTGTAACTGGAATGACCAAAATTAGGGAACTTAATGTTAGGCTACTTATAACCCCATTGACATACAGATAACATACAGATAACTCTAGACATTCACTCATGAAAAATAAGGAAATCATTGTAACATGGTGTGGATCTGATAACAATATGACAAATATATATATATATATATATATATATATATATATATATATATATATATATATTATACGTATATATATATATATATATATATATATATATATATCCACACCATGTTGCAATGATTTCCTTATTTTTCACGTCATCTAATAATTTTTCCTTTTAGCTTCAACAGTAGGACTGTGGAGGGGGAGTGGCTTCTCACTTATATTTGCTGGTACTCTCATTTTCAGTCCAGTGCGCATTCGATTTCTGTAGGGCAGAGATTGATTTTGAGCAGTGGTTTAGCAGTTTAGCAGTGGTTTAGCATTTTTTTTCAAACAACAGCCTTTTTAAAGGCTTCAAGTATGGATTGGAGTGTGTGTGTGATTTGTTTAGAGAGAGGCGGGTGCCTGAAGTGTCCCGCTGATTCTCTGCAAAAAAATGGTGCAGAAGTTTACGGGTCTTTCCTTCAGCTAGTGGAAGAATTCAGAGAATTAGATGGGATGCCAGTGGCGATTGATTTCAGAGGCTCTGGCACAGTTGAGAGTTTTTAGAGGTTGTTTAGGTGGTCTTTGAATTAGCTGCCAATTTTGTGGCGGCCAGCGCAGCCTTTTTAAATTTCTTCAAAAACTCACTTCCTGTTTGAAATATTTTTGAGCACCCCTTCTAGGATGTCTTAGGATCACCCAAGGAACATGTATACCAAATTTCAAGCTTTTTAGAGGTTCTTTAGGTGGTCTTGGAATTTGCTGCCAATTTTGTGGCGGGGAGCGCGCCATTTTGCAGTTTTTTTAAAAACTCACTTCCTGTTTAAGATTTTTTGGTGTCATCTTCCAGGATGACTTAGGATCACCTAAGGAACATATATACCAAATTTCAAGCTTTTTAGATTTAGGTTTAGGTGGCTTTTGAATCGGCTATCAATTGTATGGGCGGCCATTTTGAATTTCTTCCAAATCTCACTTCCTGTTTGAGATATTTTTGGGCACCCCTTCTAGGATGTCTTAGGATCACCTAAGGAACATATATACCAAATTTCATGCTTCTATCCGCCGCGTAACGATTTTTCACATAATCTCCCCTATCCTTTGGCCAAGCCTGGGGTTAGAGAGGAACATGTTAAGTGTGGGAAAGAAGCCCTTCTTTCCCACAGCCCTATTCCTTGGAGTCCTGTGGAACAGTGGGTGCAATTGTGTTATCAATTAGTAAATAAGATTGCTAAATAAATGTGTGTGACCTACAAACCGCTGAAGGCCAAATACACGAGACATACCATTAAAATATATGCCTCACCAAATATAGACATTGGAAAATGTACTCTCTACGTCCCTCTAGTGAGAATCCCATAATATTTTCACTGGCCTATATGTAGTACTTCACTACTAAGCCAACCTGCTACTTGCATTTAATGTCAACCTTCAATGGATCTTAAGAATGCAAAATGCAAGTTTGCATTAAAACCTGAAATGCCACAGTATCAGCCAGCGATCCTAAGGCTAAGGCTTTGTCTGGTGAAAGAGGGCGCGAGAGAGCGAGCGAGCGAGCGAGCGAGAGAGAGAGATACTGTTCACAGTCCCAGTCACCTGTAGGGGTACTGCTGCGGAAGGAGGAGGAGGGGGTGATGGGTGGGGTGACTGGCGGGGTTAGACTGCCACTGGCGTGCCGGGGGGGCGGTATGTTGAGGCTGCTGCGAGACAGACCGCCCCCGCCCAAGGAGAGGGACAGCTTGGGCTGGGGCTTCTTCCTCACAGTCTGGTGCTCTCGCCATGCCGCCTCTGTCATGAATCTGCCAAACGGTGGAGAGATGAGGGTGAAGCCGGTGAGATCTCAACCTCTCTTCTCCAGTCTGTCTTCAAAGACACGTTGCAGTCTCTAATGAGGACTTTGAGGGCAGGGGCTGGACATGTCTGTTAGGGTTTTTGACTCAGGGTTCGAACACAGAAGCTTCTGGGTTTGAACCCCAAAGTGTGCAGTCCACCTGTAGGCACCTTTGAGCTAAGGTGCCTAACCTTTACCTTCTCCTTAATGACATGATGCATCTAATATGTTCCCAGTAAGTAGCTTTGGATAAAAGTATTTGCTAAATTACTAAATAGTAATAAAGCTGGCTGGAGGTTTGCTACTGCCACACCATGTGCTTGGAGTTAATGTATTATTATATCGTATCCCATGAAAGGAATATCTAAGATCCAACGTTGCTTTTGTTTTGTTTTTTATAATGGATAGTTAAATCGTTAGTAAATGTACGCCGTAAAAATGAAATGTTCACACAGACATAGTTAAAGCAAAAGGGGAATTAACAGATTAAGTGGAAACCACATCAAGATGTGTTGGTGAAGGCAGGGAGACAGTGGCAGACCCCTTGTACCCTGGCTTGTTGCATTAGGCCTTCAGAACCCCAGTCAAACACCATATCAAAGACCACTGGGATGAGCCCAGGGCCTTTTAAAACACAGTTAACAACCAATAACCAATTTATTCTGAGTAATCCTCCAACCTTTAACTGAAATTAAATTAATGAAACTACATAGAAG